CCCCTCTAATGGAAATTCATAAACACTTCTCAGTAGTGACAACTTGGAATTCATGAACTGCGTGTTGAAACATATTTACAGACTGTTTGAACACGTGTCCATGCATCCTGCCCTAACAATACAATCTATCCGTCACGCTGTTTTCAGGATTAAGTGGAATCACATAGGCAGGTGTAGCACCAGGTTTGGTGGGGTCTTCTGGGGCTTTAACAATTTGGGAGAGCCTTTTCTGGAAAAATGCAAAATTTAAAACCCAAGCATCTGGGGTTACTCCAATACTACCCCCTCAAGAAGAAAGAAGAGAAGATATTTCAATAGAAAGAGACAGGAAGCTTTAGTGATTGTTCAAAATACCCTCCTTTTACTGGTTCTACCAGAAGACCTGACTGAGCGAGCACAGGGCTGGGTTTCCTCTCAGGGCCTGGGAAGAAGACCGGGGACTTAACAGGCCCTAAAGTGTAATCAGTTTCATTGTGTTTCAGCCTTTGAAAGGATACACTATGTTGACAAGCTGCCTGTGTGCTGTGGATTAGATGTTGATATTTGAGAGAAGGCTCGAGGACAGCAAAGGCTGGGTCATATACTTGGGAAGGCATCAGCAAAACTCTACATTTTTTATTGCACTGTTGTTTATTATATGCATTTGAGTTTTCTGAGTGCCAGAATTCATACATATTTTCTCGATGGGTAGATATCATCAATTAATGGCTAATTATGGAAAGGGGAAACAAGTTAAAAAGACATCTGATTCTGGAAATACCACCGTGAGCACCACATATCTATCTGAACGGAAGAAAGGTAAGGCAATGCAAAAAGAGCCCCCAAAAACCAACCCAGTCATTTTTCTTGTTCTTGCTTTTGATTTTTAAGAAGGGAAACAGCCTCCTTAACTAATATATACATTTGAGACTGACATTTTCTCCTAATGTGAAAGGCCAAATATTTAAAAAAGCATTATGTAAGAATATTTGTGATTAGAATACTTTGAAACTATGTTGCCTGAAAGCATAATGTAAAGATTTAGTGAATGATTGCTTAGCATCTCATATTCATCTGTAATCTCTTGACTAGATTAAAAATATATATACAGAAAAATATTACATGTATATAGAGATTTTTAATGGATATAAAACTGTTACAAAATGTTTATGTTATTCTCTAAACACTTTAGATTAGCATTCTTGAAAATACTCAGCTCACTCAGTTTTGACACACAGCACCCCTATAAGAGAAAGTAAACCTACCCCTGTGCATTTTCAGGACTGCAAACCTGTACGGGGTAAAATGCTTCAAATTTCTGCCTCGGAGTGGCTGGTGGTTTTGAACTGCTGACCTGTGGTTAGCAGCCAATGCATAACCCCACTATGTTAGCAGGACTTCTATATTTGATAAAAGTTAACATAATACACACTGTATTATACAAAATTTTAAATTAAATAATAGACTATTTGTCAAGAATTGTGTTACAGTAAAAATTCTCCAAAGAAACAGAACTAACTAAATGTAGATAATGGATACTCATATCTTAAAAGATATAATAAATATGTACATATAAAGAGATAGAGGATAAACAGAAAGAGAGAAACATTTATTGATTTACTTAAAGGAATTGACTCACAGGGTTATGAGGGCTGGCAAGAAATTGATCAAGAGACTGGCTGGTAATTCTAGACTGGCAGGTGATTGTGGCAGTTTTATATCTGAATCTGTAAATTAGGGGGTAATGGGGGGAGAATAATTCTGGCAGATGTTCATCTATAGGCAGACTCCTCTCTAGGGAAATCTGTAGTTTGCTCTTCAAGTCTTTCTTCAGCCACTTGGAAGAGATCTATCCACACTGTTCTAAGTAATATCTGGTACCGTATATACTTGAGTATAAGCCGATCCGAATATCAGTTGATGCAACTAATTTTACCACAAAAACTGCATAAAAAATGTGCTGAAAAAACTTGGCTTATACATGAGTATATACAGTAAGTATGTTTAAGTGCTAATCACATATCAATAGTTCAGAGCAACATTTGGCTTAGTATTTGACCAAACACTTGGACACCATAGCTTAGCCAACTTGACACAAAATTAACAAATGGGATTCACAAGGCATCTACTAAAATAATTTTTGGTAGTCATTGTGTTAGTCTGGGTAGACTAGAGAAACACATCCATGGACACACATATGTGTATAAGAAAGAGATTTATATACAAGAGCAAATGAACATTGAGAAAACATCCCAGCCCAGTCGAGATCAAGTCCATAAGTCCGATATTAACCCATATATCCGATAGCAATCTATAAAGTCCTCTTCAGACTCACAAAATAATACATGCAATGGTGCTGAATGTAGAAGATCACAGGCCAGTGGGTAGAAAGTCTTTGGTGGTAGAAGCATCTCAGCACTGGCAGGGGTCTCCGCATGGCCATTCCAGTTCCCAGGGCTGCATCTTGGTAGGTCCATGTGGCATCTCCTCAGGGATGTCTTGCAGGAAGTCAGCCTTGTCAGTAGAAAGTCTCAAAGGGAGTGAACTGAGAGAGGTAGTGTCTCCTGCCTTTAAGGAGGAAGTACCAGATTTCCCAGAATTCTCAGGAGAAGGCCATACCCACACAGAAGTCTCATTGGCTATATCCAGACTGATAGACTCAATTCCACCCCTACACTCTTAATCCTTAAATTGACACCAGTTAGGTGATGACCACAGTCATCATGAACAATCCATACCCATTCCCGGCCGATGAGTCGATTTTAACTCCCGGGGACTCCATAGATCAGCGTAGAACTGCTCCACAGGGTTCCTGAGGCTGTTCATCTTCATGGGCAGGCAGTCATATCTGGGTCCCACTGAAAAGCCATGCTCAGCAGCCCAGTGTTTAGCCACTGTGCTACCCTGCTGCTTTATGGATGCATAGAGTTACTTTTAGTCAACAAATCACTTCCTTTCTCCTGTAAATGTAGCTTACATTGCCAATTTTGTTGTTGAATGAAAGAAAGATTCTTAAAACTATCTCCTGTCACCAGCAAACATATGCCCAGTCAGAATTTCAATCAGAGAATAAATAAGAGGGAAGGGAGAAGAATAAAGAGGATCCGGTCAGGGGTGTATTGGTTACACATTGGTCTGTGATCCACATGGTTGGCAGTTCAAAACCACCAGCAGTTCCAAGGGACAAATACAGGCTTTCACACTTACAACCTTACACACTTACAATCTCAGAAACCCACAGGGTCAGTATGAGTCATCAAGTTTGGAGTTTTGCTTTGGTGGCAACAGGAAAGAGCCTGGTAGCACTCTCAAGGAAGTACTGGCCTGCTAACTTCAAGGTCAGCAGTTCAAGCCCACCATCCCCTCCAAGGGAGAGAGATGAGACTAATCTCCCTCCATAAAGACTTACCATCTTGGAAACCCACAGGTGCAGTTCTACTCTGTCCTACAGGGTCACTATGAGTCAGAATGACAAGATTACAGTGAGTTTGATGAGTTAGAATCAACTCCAAGGGAGTGGGGTGTCTTGGGTAGCAACAAGAAATCATATAAATGTCACCTATTCAAACTGACTCTATCCTCTGGACTCCACAGTTAGGATGTTTATAACAATGCTTGGTGTTATTCACTCTAGACAGGTACATTTATGAGAAGACTTCCTGAATTCTTCTTTATTATGTAATCTCATAAAGGCTTTCAAGAAGTTTTGGGCATTGAGACTTGTAAAACAAAACAAAAAACAAAGCACAAACTCATTGCCATCTAGTTTGTCCTGTCGCGCAGTGATCCTGTAGGACAGGGTAGAACTGGCCCTGGTTTCTGAGACACTCAATCTTTACAGGACCAGAAAGCTTCATCTTTCTCCCGAGTGGATGGGGGGTTCAGACTGCTAATTTAGAGGCTAGCAGCTGAATTTGTAATCCATTACGCCACCAGGGGTCCCGGACGCCTAATTCTTCCTCTCCTGCTACTTATTTTGTTTTGTTTTTACAAGGCAACTCCTCTCTAAGAAGTAAAGGACTTGTGTGGTTTATATGGCATTTCTCAGGGAGAACAAAACCATTAAGATAGACACTTCTGAAGCAACTTTATTCTGATATTTCGAGTCTCTTCTGATGGCAAATGTTAAAAAGTCACTCTCAGTCCTTTTACCTTTTTTACCTACATATGATCCAGTTAACTTTTGGGATTGTTAATATTTCCATGTTCTGAATATTGATAAGAAATGTTGTTGGTTGGTTGGTTTCCCACTCTTCAAGACCTGTCTATTACAGAGTAGAACTATCCAGAAGGTTTTCTTCAGTGTAGTCTTTAAGGTCCACCAGAAACAATTCACCAGGCCTTCCTTCTGTGGAGTTGGCTGGGTGAGTTTGAACTGCCAACCTTAGATTAGCAGTGGAGTGAACAATTGCTTGCTCCATTAGGCTAAGAAAACTAGCTTCAGATACAAGATGGCAAAAAGATAGCAAACTTGAAAGTTGTATTTTTTTTCCCAACTTAAAAACTCACTCAAACTCACTACCATGCAGTCAATCTGATTTAAAGTGACCCTGCAGGTTAGGGTACAACTACCATTTTTGTGTCCCTGAGGCTATGCATCTTTAGGAAGGAGCCCTGACCTCAAGATCAGCCGTTTGAAACCACCAGCCGCTTCCTCAGGAGAAAGCAGCCGTTTCTCCTCCTGTAAAGATGCCCGGTCTCGGAACCCAAAGGGAAAGTTCTGCCCTGTCCTGTTGGGTTGCCGTAAGTCCGAGACCTCTTGATGGCAGTGAGTTTGAGTTTTGAACTTGGGGGCAATCTTTAAGGGAGCAGACAACTTCCTGTAGTTCCCTCATCAGTTTACAAAGGGTTGCTTTAATTTTCCCTTTTTGCAAATTGCTATGAAATTCAAAAGCACCAATGCTACATTAGAATAGTGTAGTGGAGGCATAGCATTTAAGAAATATGCTCAGAAACAAAATATTTGAGCACAAATGCAGATACTACAAATATAATTTGTTTTCCAGGTGAATAACCTCATTTGTACAAATCCATTGATGCTTCATCAAAGTGACTCATCAAAGCATGCTCACTGACCACCTGCTTGAAGAAAAGTTTGTAAAAGGGAGATGATGTTTCACCGTAGAAGACATGGAGACACTCAAGAGACAGACACCGATGTCAGCAGATTGGTCTCGGTTGAAAAGATGCAATGTGTTTTCAGTTCATTAGCAGGACAAAATTAGAGTCACAACATTAAAATATAAACTTTGTAACAGATGTGCTAGGCAGGCATTAGAAAATTTAAATAAAGTAAAAGTAGGAACATTTCAGTTACAATTGAGAGGACATCATTATGAGTAATCATGCATAATATAATATTTTCTTAAAACTGTTTTCACTGTTAAAGCCTTCTTGATTAAAAACTATACTGCCTGGTAAGTTGGGTTTTATAGAAATGAAAAAAAAAGTCACCTCTAGTCTCATCACCCAAACAAAACATATATTAATTTGTGGCCTTCTTTTCAGTTCTTTAAAACTTGCTCACCTTTAGCAAATTTTTTAACCTTCAAAGGCGATTTGCAGCTCTAACTTTTGCTACCTTGCCGTAGCCTTTCAGAATCCCAGAGAGCCTGCCTTTCTGCGGGCTGCTGGCCCAGCTTGTTGTAACTTCCTTTCCCATCTCCAAGGAGGTGGCCACATCTTTGGGTTTTCCTGGTCTTCACATATTGAGGAGTCATTTGCTAGTTCCACTAAGAACCCCGCTGTTCCGTAGTCCTTCCTTCAGCCTTCTTCAGCCGTCTATCCCCGAGGATGCACACCCAGGAACTAGGGCAGAAACTTTCTCTCCTAAACTCATATCCTCCCCTGAAACGTGTGTGACAGTAAATGCGTGTCTCTAATCAGCTGGAGCCCTCAGGAAAAGGCGGTGCTTCACAGCATGCTAACTCCATTTTCATTCTGGGTAGAAGACATCCACATTTATATATCGTTTTCTGCTGTTTCCCGACTGAAGACATTTGGGCCGACTGCTCTGTTTTGTGCAGATGTCCAGATAAAACTCAGCCTACATTCTGGCTTTTACCAAATTTCACATGATACCAGGTATATACTTTCCTCATCTGACTGGAGTGATACGGGGATTATAGAAGATTGGAATATTGTTCAGTAACTATTCACTCTCCCCTTTGTCTAGAGTTGACTTACCTTCCCTGCTGACTTGGATGGCCCACGTGACTTTCCATGATTCAAAGCAATATGGGTGGAAGTGATGGGCTCATATATATATATATGAGCTGGAGTCCACCCCATGGCAGTGGGGTTTGTTGGGTAGCAACAGGATGTATGCATATGCATATATATGTTTATCGATATATATGTGTGTGTGTGTGTGTGTGTGTGTGTGTGTATACATGCAGGAACCCACCACACTTTGGCTCTCGTCCTCTATGAGACGAGCATGCTAGCAGAAGCTGCCTCAGTTTGGGTCCCACAATGAGCCCCACAGGCTGCAGGTGTGAACTCAAGCCTAGGGGACCCCTGGGAGACAACCACCAACATCTGTGGGAAACTAACAAATGTCATTCCCGTGGGTTCTCCCCCAACAGCTATGCTGCCTTAAAGTGAGCACATGGTTGATTCTGTCTCCCTGTAGAAGGAGCCATACTTTGACTATCTCCTCCCACCGAGGCACCCATCCCCCTCATTGCCTTCCCCCAATGTAGGTTTGGGTTTCCTCACCTGTGAGCTCAGGGACTTTACTATGATTACCATCCACTCTGTAACACATGTAACTACTGAATATGCATGTCTCATGGCTATCTACAAATAGCCCTAAACGTAAAGATGCTCTCTCTGGCCCTCTCTGCTCTCCTCCAGTCCTCCCCTTGCTGGTGAGATCATGGCCATCCAGGAGGTGAGCTTGCTACCATGAAATGTGTCTGACTTCATTCACTTTACTCTCTCCCCTATCTCTCTTATTCTCTATGACTTTACTATAATCTTTATATATTATACCTATACAATTGTGCCTGGCCCGCCTGTGGTGATTTGTTAGGGGCTAGCTTCCCTGACAGGCATCTACAGACCCACGAGTGAGAACTAAACATATTGTTTAAGCCAAGCACTTTAAAAAACTTTTTTTTACTAAAAGATCATTTTATTGGGGCTCTTACAACTCTTATTACAATCCATACATCAATTGTATCAGGCATATTTGTACCTATGTTGCCATTCTTTTCTAGACATTTACTTTCTAGTGAGCCCTTGGTATCAGCTACTCTTTTATTCCCTACCCCCCTTGTGGCCCCTTGATAGATTATAAATGACTATTATTTTCATATCTCACACGGACCACTGCCTCCCTTCCCCCATGATTTCTATTGTTCTTCCCCCTGGATGGGGGTGTTTGGCTATGTGTCGGTCATTGCAATTGGTTTTCCCTTCCTCCCCTACTCCATCTCCCCTTCCCCCTACCCTTCTGATATTGCTATTCTCTTTCCCGTGTCTGGATTCAATGTGTTGTGAGCTTTTATCTCTTATCCATACCTCTGTCCAAGCTCCAGTCTATTCCAGAGTGAGACACAGCACTGGGGTCATGGTAGTGGGGGGCTAGGAAGCTTCAAGGAACCAGAAGAATATTGTGTGTTTCATTGGTGCTTTACTGCACCCTGGTTGACTCATCCCTTCCCTGCGACGACTCTGTGGAGGGATGTCCTATTGTCTACAGATGGGCTTTGGGTCTCCGCTTCAACTCCTCTCCTTCTCAACAATATGTTTTTGTTCATTTGTTATAGATCTTCCCATGCCTGTTACCCGGTTCCAATTGACACCTCATGATTGTACCAACTGGTATAATTCTTCCATGTGGGCTATGTTGCTTCACTGCGGGAGGGCCACTTGTTTGAGTTCAAGCCTTTAAGACCCCAGATGCTAGATCTTTTAATAGCCGGGCACCATCCACGTTCATCACCACATTTACTTATGCACCCATTTTGTCTTCAGCATTTGTGCTGGGGTGTGGGTGGTGTGGTGTGGTGGTGAGCATCACAAAATGCCAGTTTGTTAGAACAAAGTGTTCTTGTATTGAGGGGAGGCTATGAGCTGAGGCCCAAAGTCCATCCACAACCTCAGTGTATTGCCATATAAATATATGAACATAGGCCAATACCTCTATTTTTATGGATTAATGAAACCAAATACTTTGAGATTGTTGATTGCCACAGCAAAAGCTGACAAGCATAGAAACTGTGGGAAAAGTCACAGCATGTAGCTCCTACCATTTAATTCTTACATGAAGTGCTCTCGGCATCCCTTACATCAGTTATTTCCAATTAAATCAGATCTGTAATGATACACACACACACACACACACACACACATAAAACTGATACGTATCAAGGTCTCTCCTCTCACCTGTTGTCATCCCACAGCAGCTCAGTCCTCCTCACTGTTTTCTGAGTTTCCCCGGACTCTCTCTCTCTTGCCACAAAACTTGCAAGAAACTTGTCAGCATCCCACTGGAAACTGGTCAAGGACATGTTCAAGAAACCGGGCCTTTCTTCCACAAGTCGTCACAAGAAGAAGAAGTCTATGGGTAACATAGACTTCTTTTTTTCTGTTATTTCCTCTGAGAAATAAAAGCATCCCACTCAGATTTAGGTATTCAACTAAATGCTTCAAATGAAATACTTGCTATTTCTTTCTTAAGGAGTTATACTAGTGTCCTTGTGCTTCAATGAGAAATTGTCACAAAACCACAAACTTGGTGGCTTAAAATAACACAGATTTATTAAATCACAGTTTGGAGGTCAGAAGTCCAGAATGGTTTTCATGAGCTAAAATTAAAGTGTCAGTAGGACAATGTTTGTTTCTTTAAAAAAAATCATTTTATTCGGGCTTATACAACTGTTATCACAATCCATACATACATCAATTGTATAAAGCACACTTAAACATTAGTTGCCCTCATCATTCTCAAAAAAACTCGCTTTCTGCTTGGGCTCCTGGAATCAGCTCCTCATTTTTATCTCTTTTTCCCCCCTCCCTCCCAGCTCCCCCTTCCCTCATGAACCCTTGATAATTTATAAATTATGATTTTATCATATCTTACACTGCCCGACATCTCCCTTCACCCACTTTCTTTTGCAATTCTAGCAAAGACGCCATTCTCTTGCCTTTTCTAACTCCTGAGGTTGCCTGCATTCCTTGGACCCAGCGATTGCCTCACCCAGCCTGTCCACACCTTTCCTTCAAGGACTCTGAAGTTTCCCTCTTTCACATCTAAGAAACCTTGAGATTAAACATAGAGTTTACCAGGAGAAACCAAGTTAATCTTCCATCTCAAAATTTTTAATCTCTTCATCTCAAAATTTTGAGCGTAATCCCCTCTTCAAAGTCTCTCTTGCTACATGACATTGAGAAGCTCTGGGGATTAGGGCACAGGCAACTTTGAAAAACCAAAATCAATGCCATTAAATCAATTCTGACTCATAGCGACTCTCTAGGACAGGGCTGAACTTCCCCTGTGAGTTTCAAAGACTGTAATTGGAGTAGAAATTCCATCTTTCCCCCATGTAGTGGCTGGTGGTTCTGAACTGCCGACCTCATGGTTAGTAGGCCAACATGTAACCATGAGGGCACCAGGGGTCCTGTGAGAGGTGGTGTATTTTGCCTGCCACAAGAAATGAAGTGGGGTGGGGATTATTATTTTATTTATGTGACTTTGAAATAGCCTACAATTGGGAGAAAACCTGTTAGTTCAGTACAAAGAACTAGCACTACTTTCTGGAAACATTCGTGAAAATAAATGACTGAATTGATGCTGGAGCATCAGCAAGACGGTGGTGTGCGTTTCTCATAAAGAACATCCAGGTCCGTTGGGGTCAGCACAGCTTGGGCTCAAAGGTACCATTATCATCCTTCGCATCCATTCACACTTTGCCAAAGGTCAACTGTACATCAGTTATGTCCAATGAAATCAGATCTGTAATGATCTCTATATACATATGTGACTGATACATATCATATATTAATAACAATGATATTTATATAAAATATATACCTGAAACAGTTCATTGACATAAATTAATCATATGTATATTGTAATGATTCATCATTACAGAACCGATGTCAATTGGAAATAATTAGATATAGAATATACATTGCTGAAAATTGAATCAATGGTATTGAGGAAAAGTTAAAGTACCTAATATTTATATATATGTATATAATGTGTTACAATATATATTATCAAAACCCAGAAACCTCACACTCACCCTCATCGAGTGGATGCTGACTCACAGGGACCCTGTTGGACCCGGGAGATGCCCTGCAGAGCTTCGGGGACGCTGTAACTGTTCCTGAGCGTGGAGAGGCCTGGCTTTCTCCAGAGGAGGCGCTGGCGGTGGTTTTGAACTGTGAGCTTTCCGCTTGCAGTCTGCTGCATGGCTGTTAGGCCGCCAGGGCTTCTATGATATACTGTAAAAAGTATATTGTATAGATTATAGTTTCTTGGTATTGATAATCAGTCACTTCCCATTTTTCTCATTCTGTGGCCCACAAACCTGTCTTTCAGCATTAGCTTTGCTGAGCTCATTAGCTCCTAACGCATGATGACCTTGAGCTCAGTCTGCTGCTGGTTCCCCCCCGCCCCCCACTCCCACATTCATGCAAATCATACTGTTTCATGTTACATCCTCTCTTTCTTCTGCTTCAACAGTCCCTCTTTCCCTCTCTGTGGGAAGAGGGACTAAGTAGGGCTCTATTATCCCCATGCCTTGTCATTGTGACCTTGCTTAGGGTAGGCAGCTTAGTGTTGTGTCTTCTGTATGTGTGTTACCTTTAATTCTGACTCCCTCAGATTGTCTTTTAGAAAACTATGTATGGTTTAGCTTCTTGCTTAATCACAGTCATCTTAAGAATTAAACATTTCCTTTTAGGAGCTAGATTTAAATATATGAATACACATACGCATATAGTTTGGTTGATTGTTATCTGTCATTGTTTTGTTTTGAATTTTAGGAATGTATTTGAAATAGTTTTAAAGATTATTTTATTACAGAGATGATTGCCATTTCCTTGATACTGTTTGATTACAGTCTTGCTGAAAGAGTAATTAAATTTAGAAGTGTCACTCTGTGGCTTTTTATGATGCAGTTCTTTATTCCGTTTTATTTGAAAAACAAAAACTTTAATTACATGCAATATTTCAGGTGAATTTGCGTGCAATAAAACACTTTCAAGCAAAAGCTCTTGAATCTGTTCAAACATAGCTGCCATATATCTTTATAGACACAATAAATATGCTGAAGTTATTAAGAAAGTTTTCTTAAACATGCTAAGTAAGTCTGTGCAAAGGCAATGCACACAAAACATAATGCAACATGATGTCCGATCGGTCCTGGGGAATCTGTGATTTTGAATAATGTGGATCCTTTCTTCCTTGGAGTCCGTGGAGAATAGGTAAAGTAATAAGCCATCTTCTTTTTTTTTCTTCATTCGTGAGATATTTATTAAAATAACACATTTAGGGGAAAATTAATACATGTATACATCATTACTGAAAATTGTATACCATCATACAAAAAGGATTTTATTTTTGGGAAACTGATTTCTAATGTATGGCGAGTTTCACTTTCAGAGAGAAAACCACAGAATAACATGATCTAATCCAATCTTAGAGGCTGGCATGCTGAGCAAGGAATGTTCTTATTCTCTGTAGGAGCTCCTTCTTTACACTGTCAGGTACCAGGGCTCGGCCTTTTGAAGTGATTTCAGCCACCAAGTCATCAACAGTAACGTGGTCTAGTCCTTTTTCTTTAATTACCTCTTTACAGTGTGCTTTCAATTGATCCTTCCAGCCACATTCAATTAATTTAGCTCTCAGCAATTCTTTGAGGCGCTCTCTTTCTCCAGTTTCTATCAACTTTTGGTTAATTGCTGCTCTCATCTGCGCATCTTTGTTCATCTTGCTAACCACACTCTTCGGCTGCCCAGACTTAGACCCTCAGTAACTCGGGCACCTAAGCACACAGAGAGCCATCCTCTTTTAATTTGTTGGCAAAGTATTTCTAGAAGTCTGTGCCTCTTTTTGTGCTCCACGGAATAGTAAGTTAGAGCTTGTGCTTTAGTGTCCCACTGGGTCCACTCTGACCCATAGCCACCTAAGGGTCACAGCAGAATGGTCTCCTAGGGTTTCCCAGGCTGTAAGCAGATCCCCTGGTCTTTTCTGCAGAGGCAGGTAGGTTCTCTGGGGCAACCATCTGGTTAGCAACAGTCACATTGCAACACCAGGGCTCCTTATAAAAACATAAGGAAACAGATGAAAATTGAAACCACTGGCACCAGGTGATGAGATATAATTGTATTTGGGAGGTGGGACTAGGAGACTCTAACCACCGCTGAGGAGCAGGTAAGAGACTATGTCCCCTGGGGAAATGTAACTGTCATTGTGGGTCTTAGAGGTTTATACACCCCACAGCCTTTGTTGGAGATTTCTGGATTTACACAGTTCACAGGATGAACAGAATATCCATCTTAATTTGCACGCCAGGAGAACTCACTACATACACCCTTTGAGCTCCAACATTTTAAAAACCTTTGGATAAAATGTTTAAGAAGTACCTTTACAGGAATGCATGTTGTAGACTGTTTCATAAAGGCAGACTCTCTTGTTCAACCCAAATTAAGACTTATTTAAACCAATAGCTTATTATTGTCAAGTGTTTATTTACTCTTTGACTTGTTCTTTTTACGTCTTAGAATATCTTCTCAGGCAATGACCAGAAAAGAGGGCAAATACTTTTGTACACTGTTATACATTGCTGATTTATTTAGACAAGCCAGCAGCAACCATTTAAGCATTTGGTAGTAGTCTTCAGGGGATATTCTCCTAGTGGAAAATATGAAAAGGAAACCTTTGGTACTGAAGCTTCTGACCAGGACAAGCTTCAAATTCATGGTGACTCTGCTGACCTTTGATGTTCTTTGTTGCATTTGCCCCATTAAACTAGCAAATCCAGGTAAACTCACTCACTGCCATCGAGTTGATGCTGACTCATAGCAACCCTATGATGCTAATAGTGGGAAAGCTTTTAGGTTTTTTGCTCCTGAAAATATTTGAAATTCCTGATCATATCATTCATCTGTTTCCATTTTTCTTATTGATTTACATGAATACTTTAAATAGTCATTTGACTGAATGAATATTTGTCACTTTTATTACATATGACAGATGTGGTAGTTACATAATCTATTGTCAATTTGAGACAAGTGAAGGGGTGAAGGTCTGTCAATCAGGTCACAGCTTGATGACCCCATGTGGATGTGCTAAGGAGATAAATAGCTCGCTGGAGGTGAGATACATAGTTACTTCCTGTGAGACATTTCCATTGAGAAGACACATGGAGCTAGGCTGGAGCTCTGGAGCCAGAAAAGCCACGTGGAGACCCACACCAGTGCTGAGATGCTTACATCGCCACTGGATCCACAAGGCCTAAACACCCACTGGCCTGTGATCTTCCTGCATTCAGCATCATTGCATGTGGTTCGTGAGTCTGAAGAGGGCTTTATAGATTGGTATCGGGTACATGGGCTAATATCAGACTTATGGACTTGATTTGGACTGGGCTGGGAGGCTTCTCAATATACAATTGCTCTGAATTTGTTTCTCTAGTCTACCCATAATAACATAATAGAGTATATACCACAGATTTGATTTTAACTTGGTCCAACAAAGTTGGTGATTTCTTGTAGTAATCATCACCAGTGCTGTATTAAGCCCCAACCGTGCTGCTATATAAATAGCTCTGGTGGCATAGTGGCTTAAGCATTGGGTTGCTCACCCAAAGGTCAGCAGTTTGAGATCAAAAACCATTCTGCGGGAGAAAGATGAGGCTTTCTACTCCCATGAAGAGTTGTGGTTTTGGAAACTCACAGGGGCAGTTCTACCCTGTTCTATAGGGTCACTGTATGTTGAAAACGACTGGATGGAAGTGAGTTTGAGTACTGTGACATCATTTAAATGTGCTTTCTTCATGTAGTACTGTATTTCCCCATTCTTGACACATTAATTATTATATGTGACCACAGTCATCTAAACCATTGCAGTTACAGGACTGCCCATGGCTCATTTTCATCATATTTATAGCCTTAAACTCAGTGATTATATTTGTTTAACTTCTTGTTTAATCCCTTACATCTAAGAAAACTGTTCATTATTCAACACTTTATTTATCCATATCTTCCTTGTTTTTGATTAATAAATAATTGGAAGACAATAGGAATTTGGAAGAATTTCATCCTGGCTGATGATTTAAAGTGTTTTAGGACATCTTACTTGACACTTGCGTCAAGGGTCTTCCTGGAGATAGTTCTTGGTGTAAGATGTGAAAAGAATAATAATTTATAAATTATCATGGGTTCATGGGGTGGGGGTAGGAAAAAAAATGAGCTGATACCAAGGGCTCAAATAGAAAGAAAATGTTTTGTAAAGGATAATAGCAACATATGTCCAAATGTGCTTGACGCAATGGATGTATGGATTGTTATAAGAGCTTTAAGAGGCCCCAATAAAATATTTTTTTAAAAAAGATCTTATAATAAAAGTGTACTTCTGTAAAATCATTACAAAGAAGAAATAAAGAAAGCTTTTTAGTGTAACTGCCATCTAGTGGACGATCTAAGTGATGCTCAGCTTTGTGAAATGGTGAGATGTCATTTCATGTACTTTGCACATAGTAGTATCAGGAGGGACCAGCTCCTGGAAAAGGACAGCATCCTTGTGAAAGTATAGGGTCATGAAACAGGAAGACGCTCCACAGGATGGACTGACACAGTGGCAGCAATAATGGGCTGCAGCAATTCTGACGACAGCACAGGATTTAGCAGTTTGTGTTAGCATAGCGTCACTTTTGAGTTCAAACTGACTCCACAGTACCTAACAAAACAATGCAGAATATTAACAAGTAGAGATAAAACCAGATCAGAACTAGCCTGTAGGGATATGTGCTTTCTATTAGTGTGTACCAGTTCAAATGATTTAGGACCAAAAAATAAAGTAAAATAACCCAAACTCCCCCAAAACAAAAAAAACCCCGTTCTTTTCTCTATTGATTTTTGTTAATATTAATTAAAGCTGCGGATCTTCATCATAGACACGTTCTTTTATTCTTATTATAGATTCACTATTCAGAAACTCAAGATGAAAAATTAATTTATAGGACATCAGCATGCTTTTCCCCCCAAATGTCATTACAGTTTGGAGAGAGGAGGTGATCCGGAAGCTAGGGCAGTGATGAGGTGAACAAAGGCTGCCACAAGGAAGGGAGGCGGAGAGAGAGGAGAGCGACCCACGGAGAGCGAGGGTGGGCCTGCAACCGATAGAGTTGGAGATGATTCATGCCGAGGGCGTAAGAAACAGAGTGAGCTGGGGCAAAACCAGAAAGGAAAGAAATTGGATTAAAAGATACTTTCAAGAGAAAAGAAAATAACAGGATTACAAATTATTTGAGAGAGAGATTGAAAAAGCGGCTTTCCCGAGGCTTGCCTGCCTGATTTTGTCAGCGTCTAGGAACGTGCACCGCCATCCTTCACTACCCCTCGCTGTGGCTTCAATAGAAGTGACTCAGTTGAACGATGAAACCGTGACCTTGGGATTTTATGTCAGCTTGAATTTGATCCAAGTGTAGGGGTCAGGTCACAGCCTGATCATGCCTCCTTGGGAGTGTGGCCTTCTGAAAAGCAGGCAAAACTGGAAGTTTTCCTTTCTCTCGTCTCTCTACCTTCTAGCCTGATAGAACAGCAAACTCCATGATTCCATGTGGCCCTCCCGACCCTGAGAGCTGTCAGGTCCTGCCATGTGTCTGTCCACTGACCTAGGATCCACAGGACTCAGCACTGCGGGCCTGTGAGCTTCCTGCTTCTCAGTTCACCGTCTGCAGCACCACATGCAGCTGTGAGAGTGAGGGGGAACTTGTGGACTAGCATCGGATTTACGGACTTGCGCTGGGATGCCTTGTTGATATAAGTTTACTTCTTGCTATAAAGCAATTCCTTATACATAGATGAGTGTTACTGCATTTGTTTCTCCAGACAACCCAACCTAACCTAACATGGATGCCTATGGAAATGCATCGGGATTTATGGAATTAAGGCAGTCAACATTGTACCATGTGCCTTTTCCTAGTTTTGGAGTAATAAGATCCAGTTAAACTGAAATATTTTAAAAGGCATCCAGCCATTAACACATCCTTGGATGTCTACCAATTAGTGCCTTTTGGAATGGATGGTATGTGCACTGACATTATTTTAATCTTCTATCACCTATTTCTAAAGTTCTGAGATGTACTCCTTCATACACAATGCTCTATAGGGAACATCTTTTATCCAGGTTTTAATGAAAGTTTTAAGGTTACTTGAAGATATCATACAAGTGAGTCAGCTCTGACGTAAAAAAAAAAAAAAGTCATTTTGTAAAACTATCTTTTCCAACACTTAATGATTTTTTAAGCCCTGAACTCCTGGTACCAGTTGTCCTCCATGTGTGTCAGCATAAACTCTGATGACTAAGGTGCACCCATCACAAGCCACGGTCTTCTCAGTCAGTCCCCTGATGGACATGCAAACCCAGCTCTGCCTCCACACTGGACTGCTAGCAGCCTGGCCTGCAGTCGGAACACACAAGCTACTCCGCGGGCGAAAGAGGGCGCTCTCTACGCCTGTGAAGCATTCCAGGCTTGGAAACGCACAGGGACATTCTGTCCTGTCCTTAAGTCAGCACCGACCCAATGGCAGTGTTTGGTTTTTTCAATATGCATTAAGATGCTGCACAATGAAACAGAAGACAGCAGAATTGATGTGTTGGAGGATGACACTGGCAAGGAATGTTGTCTATATTGAAGGCTGCCAGGAGGACAGAAATCACCGTAGAAGAAATACAACCAGGTCACTCCTTAAAAACAAGGATGGCAAAGCTTCCACTGACTTACGTGGGACCCATCACGGGAA